GGTGAAGACAATGAGTCAAATTCACTCTGAAGTTTTGMAATTTGTTTTGCTTGATGAAAAAAAAATACAGAAAACAAAATCTGGTACAAAGTAGCAAAGAGGAATCTTAGGTAATGATAGGGCATATCCAATAATGTATTAAACATTTCATGCCACCACGACTTGAGTCAATGAATAAACTAGATCTTCCTTTACAATGGCATACATATGCTGTCAGACTTCTCCTTGGGTCAAACTCAGTATAGAATTCAGATTCTTTACCATATAATGTTGTACATGCAGCTCCTAGTATCTTCCAACCCTAGAGAATATAAATGTTATATGCTGCAATGATCTCAACAATACCACAACAAGAACATAGACTATTATTTGTACTYACTGGATGYGCRTTGTCAACTAATGATACTTGAGCRTCTGCTGATTTCCCWGTAGCATGTGTCGTGGATTTTTTTTGCATATGCTTACAAAGAGTGAAATTAGCTGTGCCCATATCTCCTTTAGGACCAGGAGGACCAGGAGGTCCAGGGTCCCCAGGTGTTCTGTCAGAKCCAGGTGCTCCTTTAGGACCAGGAATGCCTTGTGAACCATTGATTCCWGGAGGACCCTGAATTCCTTTATAACCTGGAGGMCCACGTGGGCCAGTAGAGCCMAGTGCTCCTTGAATGCCTGGAATACCTTGTGAACCATTAATTCCAGGAGGGCCTTGWATTCCTGCTAAACCTTGAGGTCCAGTTTGACCAATAGAACCCTTTTCTCCCTGAGAACCTTTCTTCCCAGGACTACCGCTTAGACCTTGTATGCCACGTGGTCCTTGTTGACCGTTTTTACCCTGTGGACCTGRAGGTCCTGGTGGTCCATTAGGCCCTGGTGGACCTGGTTCACCTTTTTGAATTGACTTGAAGTACTTTGGAATCGAGAATGTTTATTAGTATTTATTTATGTCTCATTTATCCGTATTTTGAGGAAACCAGATAAAATGTGTGATGAAGAAAAGATCACTGTACTGGTATCCAAACGTTTAATGGTTGTTTCTTGGTTAAAATGGCTATTTATTTAGTAGGATGACAAGCACAACTGTTCAGCGAATCAAAACACCGATAAGTGGGTTAAAAAAACGAGGCGTAGCCGATTCGAATTGTTTTTATACGCTGATCTTAGACACAAATGCGAGAGATTTAATCTTCTCAAATCCAAGGATAAAAGTCCGATGACTTCCAAATTTGAATTGTTATATGAAATTTTAATTTTGAAARTGATAATGTCATATAAAGCTGATTTATTCAAATGTCTATATAAGTCCATCGAGTTGAATATATTGTATGTGTATTATATATATTGATGTGCGTAACTGCCCGGYTCTGTTGTCCGTAGCATTACACTCACCTCTGTCGTTCTCTTTACTTGGACTACTTCTCGTTCCAACTCGTTTATCGTGAGAACAACATCTTTTGTAGTACGATTTCCTGTAATGCGATAAACAAGCACTTTTTAGTGCTATTAAACTTCGTGTCATGTAACATTAGACTATTTAAAGCGCAAATTACATGACTTTTTTTATTTTGGAAATTGTCCAAAATATCTTCATATTAGTTATGTTGATGCTATTTATGGAGTGAAAAATTCGTTGCATTCATTCYATCAAAACCGGTAATTGTGYTTCGAAACGAACTTYGATATGTCCGTTAACCTGACTGGCATTGAAATACTGTTTCGTTATCGTAATAACATCTTAAGCAGTAAGATTTCCTGTGACAAACAAGGACTTCAAAAACATCATGTCATGCAAACAGGCTATTGTACTATTATCATTATATTTACGTTTATACGATTGTATCGAAAGTACATATGTATCTTAACGAATTTCTATATGCACGTTAAAACGATTGGCGTCAAAACAACTATGTATCAAGATATAAAACCGGTATTAGAAACTCTCAGGTGGGCGTGTCAGTTGCCGCGTGTTTTTAACTAGGGGCTTTGCTATTGTGCAGACTGTACTCTTTGATGACGTATATAATATAAGACTCGGGAGATTCCAGGCAGATTGCCAACATAATCTAGTTATGTAACGCTGTGTTTTAAATTACCACAGTTAGTCATCAAAACATRATCATTTGACAACACGCAAAATTCATTCTTAATTGAACTGTTTTTGCGCAGTGCGGAGGAGTTGCAGGAGCTTTCCTGTTTACCAAATAAAGCAAATCAAAGTGCCAAATAAAGAACAATGCTCATACAGAGAATCGATTTTAAAATTGATATATCCTTCCTGTGTCGAATAAGGACTTTCATTGATTCAAYGATTCAGAATCCCCACTTCTATGTCCTTCCGACGTCTTAAGTCCTCAAATCGACGACATATTTGTTTTATGCCATTGTTTTCACAATAAGCTATTGTATGCTAATATAATAATCCGTTCATTATTTACCTTTCGTGTTCGTACTTGCTTGACATCCACATGAACGATACAAGTAAAGAGTAAGAAGTGAATTACCAATACAAAAGAACAACAATAGAGTCATAAATGTGTACAGTACACAAAAACTAGGTYTGCGCATTGTCTTTTCAGTTGACACGACGGTGTTGCACTCTTCCTCCTTGTCACGTTCCTCATGATTGTCATTGTCTTTGAATCCAATGTATGTGATGTTAGGTTGTATTGTGACTTGTTCTGGTTCCGATGAAGGAAGATTCGGTAGAGGTATTGCGTCCTTGAGTGTATCGTTCCTGGATGTTGTTGGWGGTTTGTGCTGTGTTTTTGCATGATTTTTTGTTGGTGTTTCTGGTGCTGTAGTCTTGGTTGGCTTGACCTTTGTTCGCAACATTGTGCATTCTTTATGAGATGTTTTGCTGTTCCTGTCAATACTAGATAGATGTTATATATTATTGGCATACAATCCGTTTCYTTTTTTGCTTGCAAGAGATTGTATCGTTCTGAGGTGGGCTAATGTCGCTAGTTTTTCTCTTCAATTTAACCTCTCATCTTAACATGACAARTCACCGTCCCCTGGGACAAGCATCTAATGACCTCAGGCTGTAGWTGRCCTATTTCATCAAGTCGAGGCAGATTTTAGCTTACTGAAAGTGTAATGAGATTACACAAATAGTTTTCTCACGATCCGTTAACAACAAACCAACAAACCAAGTCGTAACTAGCGCAAAACTACTACTATCCGCACAAACTCGAGTGGAATTCATAATGGGTCATGATGTTACCAAAAAAAGAACCTCAAAGATTTGCCAGTTAAGACAGCTGTAGCGTGTAAAAACAGGTCTTGAGCTGCTAGTTTGCATTTCAGTGCCCTGTAACGGAATACACATGTCAGGTTTCTAAGGTGAACTTCATTAGTATCGATTCTACGGCGGGCACTTAAATACTTTCCCCAAATTTAGAAAAAGAAACTTTTGAAGAGAGCAACACCGCTACGCTCTAACAACGGTGCAAACAGCTGATAGAGCTCGTCTTTTGAAATAGATTAAGATAATAGCAGTAGTGATGTAGCCCTAAGGGTGACGCGCAGTTTTAATGTAACAATTTCCCAGACAGATAGGCTCATGTCCTTATAATCTAGAACAGGCATATCTTGAATTTCGATTCTTKTTTACAGAAGTAGTTTTTGGCATTTTCGATTGTAGTTTCCAGCTATTCATTAGCATTTATTGGCTGCAAAGGCTCAGTGTCAGAGGATGTGATCGTAAACTAAGCTTTCAAGTCTTGTAATAGTTATTTACTACCACCCTCTCGTGATATCGATTGATGGTTTCGTCTTTTCCAATTTCCCTAAAATCCTCTCATMAGCTTTGACAAGGCGACAATGATATCTCCTTTGGTCTGTGTTAAGAAACGCGATCTTGTAATTATCAGAACAATGACCACTTGAAATCTTAGCTTATCTTAATGGATCAAGTCATCATAAGTCTTGGCAATCTCACACGGACATCCCGCTGACCATCTCTGCTGCTGCCTGTTGGCGCATATTGACACGTGCAGTAGCAAGCCAAAGAAACACGATAGGATTATTGTATTTACTCGAATAGACGCCGCCGCCCCCTAATAGACGCCRCATCTGAGGAAATAATGATACCAGCAATGAGAATTTATTTTCTTTTAGAACATTTTTTATTTCAAAGTGACTTTCCTTTTTGCTCTCAGCAGCTGTTAGATTCCGACCACGAGGAGGACATTGATGTTGAAATAGAAGTTGAACTCTCGTTAAAATCATAAATTGAATAGACAAAATGAACACGACATTTATATATTGAGAWTCGTTACTGTTTGTAAGTAAAAAGATACAATATAAAGTACGGTATGTAGTACTGAATAAAATGTTTTTTAATAAAAGACGACCCGGTATAGAGGCCACCCTCAAATAAACGCCGCAGCTGGATCGTGAAAAATGAAATAAACKCCGCGGCGTCTATTCCATTAAATGCGGTATGATAGGGTATAAAAAATRATATAACTAACAAGTTTTTTTATTTACCTGATTTTATTAATCGTCGATACATAGTTGGAATGACATTGTTAGTGCAAAGTCAAAAGGTGATTTATTAACGGCATGCTATGTAGTAACGCGGTTAAACCCCTGTGAGATAAAGTAATGTAACTACTGATAGAGGACGACATAGGAGTGTTAGAAATCGCCAAATAGTCCATTATTTTACGCGGTAATTTTTTTGCGGAAATGCGGAATTTGTGTCCCCAATTTGCAATATTTACAGATTTTAATGCCCAGCATTGCGGTAAAAAACCTTTGTGAATAATTATTTTACGCGGTAATTTTTTTGCGGAAATGCGGAATTTGTGTCCCCAATTTGCAATATTTACAGATTTTAATGCCCAGCATTGCGGTAAAAAACCTTTGTGAATAACGGTTTTTGCGAGATAATTTTGCACTACATGATGCGGAAATTATCAAGTGAAAAGTTTTTGTAGAGCTGAAAATTTAAGCAAAGACTATCCATAAAAAAACTAACACAGTCATTAATAATGCACATTGTTAAACACGTATGAATTAAATAGTGAGTAATGAAAGATTATTTAATTACCGTGTCGACTGATTTAATTTTTTTTGCGGTATTTGCGATATTACATATAATTTTTGCGGTGAAGCGGGGTTCATATGCTTCCTACTGATAGGGCTACAAATGATTCATCTCCAAGAGAGCAAGGAATGACATTTGCCAAGACATGATACCTTCTGTAGAGCTAGTAATCTACTATTTCTGTGCCGTGCAGAGAGCC